CTCAGGTGATCCTTCTGCCTCAGCCTTTCAAGTAGCTGGAACCACAGGCGTGCACCACCATGCCTGTCTAATTTTTTTATTTATTGTAGAGACAAGGTCTTGCCAAGTTGTCCAGGCTGGTCTTGAACCCTTAGGTTCAGGCAATCCTCTTGCCTTGGCCTCCCAAAGGGCTGGGATTATAGGTGTGAGCCACTGTACATAGCCTATCTCTCATTTTTTAAACATAAATGGAAGCATACTGTATTCTGTACACTTGTTTCATGAAACTATTTTACCATCTTGAGAACTTTTACAGGTTACATAATATGCTTAGTATAGATGTACCTTGGTTTATTTACACCATTACTGGTGATGAACATTTGGATGTTTCCAGTATTTTTTCTTAAAACAAGGTAGTGTATATGCCTTTGCCCACATTGATTGTTACTGAGTATATCCATGGTATCAGGATGTGCATATTTAAAATGATGCATGAAGCCCCTGGAGCTTTTTAGTGGCATTTTAGTGGTGTTTCCCAAAGTGTTGGCTGGGCCCTCAGGAGTCTGTGGTATGGGTTTTTGGGAGGACTGGACACTTCAAAAGAGGCATGAGATGTTAGAGACTTGCCCAGCAGGTGGCATCAGAACAAAACTGGTTGTGGACACTGAGTATGAATGACATATTAATATATTTAAAATGTAGAAACGCAACAGTAGCACCTTCTTTATACATAGATTGGGGATGTTAAAAAAGCCACTGATGCCTGGTTTCTCTTCTGCCTCCTCAGCCCCTATCATAAAAATAGATCAGTGCCATTTTGTTAGAATACCTAGCACAGATATATGACTTGAATGATCCTGATAAGCAGGGTCACATTTGAGACTTTCTAAGGGAAATGAAGACCCATCTGTAACACAAGAAACATACCTCTTTGTGATTTCTGTGATTTTCTTGTGAAGATATTGTTTTTTGTTTTTTGAGTTGGAGTCTCACTCCGTCGCCCAGACTAGAGTGCAGTGGCCACTCCCGGCCACCGCAGCCTTGACCTGCTGGGCTCCGGCGATCCTTCCGCCTCAGCCTTCCAAGTAGCTGGAACTACAGGCGCACGCTACCACGCCCGGCTAATATTTTTGATTATTGTAGAGACGAGGTCTCGCCAAGTTGCCCAGGCGGGTCTCGAACCCGCGGGCTCAGGCAATCCACTCACCTCGGCCTCCCAAAGGTGCAGGATTACAGGCCGAGCCACCGAGCCCGGCCAATATTCTGTTTTTAAAAGATTTTTCTAAGTATGTCTCTAATTAAAGCACTTTAACTTTGGTGATTGCAATTTGAGAAACCAATGTGCTTTCTTATTGAAAGGCCCTTGCACTGAAAGTGCTCTATCTTCCTCCCAAGATCTGGAGTTAAAGGAGAGATTTTTTTTTTTTTTTGAGTTGGAGTCTCACTCTGTCGCCCAGACTGGAGTGCAGTGACCGCTCCCGGCCACCGCAGCCTTGACCTGCTGGGCTCCGGTGGTCCTTCCGCCTCAGCCTTCCAAGTAGCCAGAATTACAGGCATGCGCTACCACGCCCGGCTGATTTTTTGATTTATTGTAGAGATGAGGTCTCACTGCCCAGGCAGGTGTTCAACTCGCGGGCTCAGGCAATCCACTCACCTCAGCCTCCCAAAGGCGTGGGATTACAGGCTGAGCCACTGAGCCAGGCAAAGGAGAGATTTTAAAACATACAATAATATTGTTTCATTAAATAAAGTTTCATTTACTCCTCACAGGCCCACTTTCAGGGAGATTTTACATATTGTGAAATAGACTCAGGAGCTTTCTATACACATCTTCATCCTGAAGACTTCCAGTCTTATTAGTAATTGGCTGTCCCATTCATCCAGCTTCTTTTAAAGTTAGAAACCTGGTAATCTTGCTTTGACATCCATCTCCCTTCCTCTCATTCCCTCACATCCAATTCTGCACCATAAGAGGTGTTTTTTTCTATCTCCTCCATTTCTTGAGAATCTGTTTACTTTTTTTCCATTTCTTTTGCCATCCCACCAGACCAAATGAACTGTTTCATTGTCTCATTTGCAGTATCCTTTAGTTTCCTCTGGTTAATCAATCCTTGTCACCCTGCCAATCCATTCTCCACATTTTTTTTTTTGAGTTGGAGTCTCACTCTGTTGCCCAGGTTGGAGTGCAGTGGCACGCTTATGGACACTCCAGCGTCGACCAGCTGGGCTCTGACGATACTTCCGCCTCAGCCTTCCAAGTAGCCAGAACTACAGGTGTGCGCTACCATGCCCAGCTAATTTTTTAAAAAAATGTATTGTAGAGACAAGATCTCACCAAGTTGCCAGGGGCTAGTCTTGAACCCGCAGGCTAGGATTACAGGCTGAGCAACCGAGCCGGCCCATATTTGGCTCTTTAGCCAACATGAACTCTAAATGTTCATTCTGATCATGCCATTCCTGACTCAAAACTCTCTAGTGCCTTCCCAATGCCCTTACAAGAAATTCCTCAAATGGCCTTTGTGGATCTGTGCCACTTGTCTCTCCTACCTCTTTTCCTATTGTTACAACCCTTTCCCCCTTTCTCCTTTCTAGACATACTGGTCTTTCTGTGCTGCAAACTGGCCAAGTCTCTTCCATTCTTCAGGGCCTGTGCACAAGTTCTTCCTTTGCCTTAGAATTCTTTCCTGGTCGGTACACTTTCTTGTCCCCTTACCACAAGCTAATGCCTTATTCTTTAGATCTTGTCGTCAACATCTCTTACCCAGGGAAAACGTTCCTGTTCAAACAAGTCTAGACTAGATCCCCCTTGTTATTCTTCTGTTTGTCCTTTTTAGCATTTACCACAATCCTAATGATACAGTTATGTCGCACATTCACATAGTACAAAATTCAAATTATATAGAAGATGCAGAGTAAAAAGTCTTTTCTTCCCTGTCCCCCTACTACTCATTTCTCCTCCTTGGAATAACCACTTTTAGCATTTTGATTTTTTTTTTTTGAGTTGGAGTCTCACTCTTATTGGCCAGGCTGGAGTGCAGTGGCATGCTCACAGCCCCTGCAGCCTCGACCTGCTGGGCTCAGGTGATCCTTCTACCTCTGCCTTCCATGTAACTGGAACTACAGATTTTTTTTTTTTTTTGGAGATAGGATTTTACTCTGTTGTCCAGGCTGGAGTGCAGTGGCATTATCTCAGCTCACCACAGCCTTGAACACCTGAGCTCAAGCGATCCTCCTGCCTTAGCTTCCCCAGTAGCTGGGACTGCATGCACAGCTAATGCACACCATGCCTGGCTAATTTTTTTTTTTCAATTTGGATAGACAGGGTTTCGCTTTGTTGTCCAGGCTGGTCTTAAACTCTGGGCTCAAGCAATCCTCTCGTCTCAGCCTCCCAAAGTGCTGGGATTACAAGCATGAGCCACCATGCCCAACCATCTTGGTTCAAAATTCAAATTATACAAAAGGTACAGAGTAAAAAGTCTTCTTTTTCCTGTCCCCCTGCTACTCATTTCTCTTCCTTAGAAGTAACCACTTTTAGCATGCTGAATATCCTTCCTGAAATATTTTCTAAGTATACAAGTACATAATATTCCTCTTTATTTTTTGCCTTCTCTTTTAACATAGGTATTATATGCATTTTTCTGCACTTTGTTTTGTTATTAACATATCTTGACAATTCTATATTAATATGTAAATAGTTGCCTCTTTCACATGCCGCTTAGTATGGACTTAACCATAATTTATGTAACCTCTGTTGCTGGGCATATAGGTTGCTTTCAGGCTTTTGGTAATTACAAATAATGCTGCACTGAATACCATTGTATGTAAAGTCATTTTCCACATCTATACCTATAGAATAAATTAGTAGAATTGAAATAATTGCGTTAAAGGTTATGTGCATTTTTAATTTTGGTAATTACTGCCAGTCTGCTCTCAATGAATTCGTATTCCCACTAGTGAATGCCTGTTTCCTCACAACTATGTCAGCGAAAATTGTTCTTTGCAATATAAGAGATGGAAAGTATCTCTTGACAACTTTATTTGCAGGTTCTTGCTTCCTTGCAAAGTTATATTTTCATGTTTAAGTGCCGCTTGTTATTTCTTAGTTGGTGAACTGTTTCTTTATAAACTTTGCGTATGTAACATTTAATGTCTGATTAACTCGCTACACTTCAAACTCGGTCCTTGAGGTGCAGGGACCCTGTATGTTTTGTTAATCTCATAGTTCCAGGCACTCCAATGAATGAGGCTCAAAAAAACGACTGGCTGAGGTCATGCAGGATTCAAGATCAAAACTCACGTCTGACCCCAAAGCCCACACGTTTCCCAGTGGAAACACTTCGCACTGGGAGCCAGATGGGTAACTGAAAACGCCAGAAGCATGTTGGGAAGTGAGGACCTTGGCAAAAAAGGCGAAAGCATGTTTATCCACAGCCGCTATCCAAATCTAATTTACTGCCTTGCAAGAATGCAGGCCCATTGTCGGCCCTTTATCCCGAGGCCGGATTTCTTGTGAAATCTTTCGATTTTTAAATATTTCCAATCAACAGACCGCGGCTCAAACGCAGCCCACCGGCAGCCACTTTACAAACTCTGACTTTAACAAGAGTAAGAGGCTAATGGGGTGAATACCTCGGCTGCACAGTGACAGTCAAGAAACGGGGAGGTCTGACTATAAGGCGAGAATAAGATTCTCTGTCCGAGGGTCCCGGAAGGAGGAATGAATTAGATGCACATTCGAGACAGAGGAGGGTTGGGCAAGGTGGTGGAGGACCGCGCCGCCATCCCAGGTGCGGTGGCCAATCCAGCCTGCGTGGCCGGAGGCTTCCCCAGCAGCATACAGACAACGGCGAGGGGCACGGGACATCCTGGGATGAAGGGAACTCTCCCAGATCCATGTCGTCGGCGAGTTGGACCCAAGATTCCTCGACTCCCCGAAGTCACGCTGCAATTTGTTTCCTTTCCTGCTCAGGCTCCTCCCCTTCCGCCACAGTCCTCCGACTTCCGTTTACCCCGTCGTCTGGGAAACGGCCGACTTCCGGCCGCGCAGCGGTGGGTGGAGCCAAGATGGCTGAGAAGACACTCGGGACGGTGAGCGCCGAGGTTCTGCGCGGTGTCCCGGCTTCCGGGCAGGGCAGGACAGAGCAGGGCAGCGAGGCAGGGCGGTGGGCGGCATCTGTCCCACGCGACCGCTTCTGGGGAGAAGCGAAGCCGAGTCCGAGTGGCTGGGGTGGGCGGGGCGACCAGATCCCGCTCCTGCTCTCGGGAGCTGGTGGCCTGGGGTCACCCAAGTGACTCCTCCGCGGCTCCGCCCTGTTCCCACTGGGCGGCGGTCCCTCTTGGGTGTGCTGGACGGACAGGGAACATTTTCCCTAGAAATGTTTCTTCTAGCCCCAGCGTTCTCTCGGGGTTGGGACTGGGATCACTGCCACTAATGTAGACGGGTTCTGTTAATCCCCGGGGATTAGGAGTTTAATACAGCGACAGCCCGGCAGCTTTAAGCCATTGGTGCCTTCTGCCAGCTGACAGAACAGCGCTTTCACCGTGGTGATTTTTTTTTTTTAATTTAAAAAATTTTTAGCCGGTCGCGGTCGCTCACGCCTGTCATCTCAGCACTTTGGGCGAGAGGATTGCCTGCGCATAGGGTTCGAGACCAACCTGGGCAACTTGGCGAGACCTCGTCTCTACAATAAATCAAGCAATTAGCTGGGCGTGGTGGTGTGCGCCTGTAGTTCCAGCTACTTGGAAGGCTGAGGCAGAAGGATCGCCTGAGCCCAGCAGGTCGAGGCTGTGTTGGCTGTCAGCCTGCCACTGCACTCCAGCCTGGGTGACAGAATGAGACTCCGAATTAAAAAAAAAATTATTTTAAAAGATGTGGGGGGCCGGGCTCGGTGGCTCAGTCTGTAATCCCGCGCCTTTGGGAAGCTGAGGTGAGTGGATTGCCTGAGCCCGCGGGTTTGAGACCCGCCTGGGCAGCGAGACCTCATCTCTACAATAAATCAAAAAATCAGTCGGGCGTGGTAGCGCATGCCTGTAATTCCGGCTACTCGGAAGGCTGAGGCGGAAGGATCGCCGGAGCCCAGCAGGTCGAGGCTGCGGTGGCCGGGAGCGGCCACTACACTCCAGTCTGGGCAACCGAGTGAGACTCCAACTCAAAAAAAAAAAAAAATATGTGGGGGTACAGTTCAGGGTTAGGTACATAAGTGGATATCGTACAGGTAAAGTTTGGGCCTCCCCTTGGTCCCTACTTCCTCTAGTTTGGGATCAGGTACCCTTATTGATGTTATGTGTTATTCTCCCCCCATCCCCGCAGTATCCCCCTACTGCCAATCCCTTTCTTACAGCATTGTGATAAACGGTCAGGGTCTGCTTATGAGTGAGATCATGTGGTACTCAGATCTTTGTTTCTGTGATACATCGCTGAGTATGATAGGCTTGCTAAATGCATCTAAGTTGCTGCGAAGTCCATCGTTTCTCCGTGGTGACTAAATTTGGAAATGTTGTTTTGGAATTCAGTCAAAGTCTCAGTTAGATGTTAACGCCACAGAACTGCTGATGCAGAGGAGCCCTGGTGAATTCCGGATGACCCAGGCATATTTCCATCATTGGATGCAATTTCTGTAAAGTCCCAGTCTGAAACGTTGTCGACGTTGCTTTAGTTACTAGGTTTCAAAGCACGTTCTAGCCAGGTATGGTGCCTCACGCCTTTCATTACAGCACTTTGGGAGGCGGAGAAGAGGGAATTGCCTGAGCCCAGCAGTTTGAGACCAGCCTGGGCAACTTGGCGAGACTTCAATAAATAAAAAAATTGACCTGGGATGGTGGCATGCGCCTGTAGTCTCAGCTGCTCTGGAGTCTGAGAGGGAAGGTTCATGTGAGCCCAGGAAGTCAGGCTGCAGTGAGCCCTGATCATGCCTCTGCACTCCAATCTGGGCAAACAGGGTGAGACTCCAAGTCAAAAAAAAAAGTATGTTCTGCCCTGTAGTTAGAATGATTTTAGTTATTCAAAATTTGTTATCAATAGCTACAATACGAAATAAAATAACAACCCAGACAATACAACAGCAGCCTTTGCCTGATTTACAACTTTGCTTTGGCTAAGAAGCAAAGTTGGTGTTATTGGACAGAAGCCTTTTGTTTGTTTTCTATTCTTTCATTTGCAGAGTAATCACCTTATTTTAGTCTGAAACTCTAAATACAGAGAAGGAAACACAAAACAAAGATTTTTGTTAATTAGGCATTAAAAAAAATTAAATAGCATGATTAATGTTACTGGGTTTTAGATACTAAAAATATATGAAAGAAAATACTCCATCTAAATAATCTTAAATGTAAGATGTGGGTAACATGACATTGCTATAAATATAGTTTATGTTCTAGTGTCCGTCGCCCGTATAGATTAGTGATTGTATGTTTTCTTTTGATTCAGGATCTCATTCTCATGCAACCTTTAAAATTAATCTTACTGCCATTAAAAATAAAGTTGATTTGGAGGGATTTCCATGGTGTACATTTAAATAAAGGGTAGATGTGGAGTGGGATATATTGTGTGATCTTAATTTTGTGACACAAAGGATGTGGATATATGGTATGGAAGAGAGAAAACTTGTTTTTTTTTTGAGTTGGTGTCTCACTCTGTCACCCAGGCGGGAGTGCAGTAGCACACTCACGGCCACCCGAGTGTCAACCTGCTGGGTTCTGGCAATCTTTCTGTCTCACCCTTCCAAGTAGCCGGAACTACAGTGCTTGCTACTGTGCCCGGCTCATTTTTTACTTATTGTAGAGACGAGGTCTCGCCAAGTTGCCTGGGCTGGTGTCAAACCCATGGGCTCAGGCAATCCACTTACCTCTGCCTCTCAAAGTGCTGAGATTACAGGCTGAGGCACTGAACCTGGCTGGCTTAGAGTTCTTTGTTATTGTTGTGCCAGGGTCTCACTCTGTCACCCAGGCTGGAGTGCAGTGGCATGATCAGGGCTCACTGCAGCCTTTACCTCCTAGACTCAGATGAATCTTCCCTCTCAACATCCCGAGTAGCGGGGACTACAGGCGTGTGCCACCATATCCAGCCAATTAAAAAATTTTTTTTGTAGAGACAAGATCTGGCCATTTTGCCCAGGCTGGTGTCAAACTCCTGGGCTCAAGTGATTCTCCTGTCTTGTCCTCTTTATGTACTAGGAATATAGGCGTAGCTACCACACCTGCTCTCCAATTTAGAGTTCTTAAAAAACAAACAAGCACGTAGCTCTGGTTTTCATGATTTGCTTGAAGGAGACCCCAACAAAATCTGAATTATTTTTTAGAGAGCGGGCCCTTTGTGGTATAGGCCTCCCTGCTTGGTGAGTGTTTTAGGAACCTATCAGCATCTGTGTACCAGCTAGGGTTGTTGTGAAAGACTGCATTTGGCTTCAGTGAATTTTTTTTGAAGATTCTTTCAATGTGTTTGCCTATTTCATGATGGGTGATTTATGAGCTCACATGCCCACACCACTCCTAGTGTTTAGCAGTTTGACCAAAAACAGCATGACTCCTGTTCCCCACCCTCCCTATTCACCCAACTCGCCCCGAATGACTTCTTTTGTGTTCCCTGATGAAAAAAGTCCTCAAAGGGAAATGTTTTGCTGATATTGAAGAGATGAAACAAAAGATGGCAGAAGCCCCACAAGGCATAAAAATGAATGAGTTCATAAACTAAGCAGTGGAAAAAGCATTTCGATAGGTGTATTGCATCAAACGAGTACTTTGAAGGTGACCTATGTTTAAACATCTAAGAGTAAATGCACAATTTTTATAAATAAATTCTGTTTTTTTGGTGTCCTTTCTCGTATTTATGAAATTTTTTTGTAATGCCTTATTCCCATTTGATGTATTTGTATAAGTACATGTCTTCCTGTTAAAGGATTAAATTGCTTAGAACAGAAACAAAAATTACTGCACTAGTTGATCCAGCTCAGATATAGTACCTAGCATGCATCAGGTGCTCCATGAATTTTTTTTTTTTGAGTCAAAGTCTCACTCTATCGTCCAGGATGGAGTGCAGTGGCATGCTCCTGGTCACTGCAGCCTTGACCTGCTGTGGATTCAGGCGATCTTTCTGCTTCAGCCTTCCAAGTAGCTGTAACCACGGGCATGTGCTACCATACCCGGCTAATTTTTTTGATTTTCTGTAGAGATGAGGTCTCGCCAAGTTGCTCAGACTGTTCTTGAACCCAGGGGCTCAGGCAATACTCTCGCCTCTGCCTCCAAAAGTGCTGGGATTATGGGCGTGAGCCACCGCACCCAATGAATATTTGTTAGATTAATAAATGACTGTAGAACTACATAAAAGTGAAGACAGAACAGAAAAAAAAGAATTTATTCTGTGTACATCCCAGCTATGAATGAGATTGAGTAGGCTAATAGAATTCTTTCCATCTCGGAATGGTCTGGAAAGCCTTGAGTAAAAGACTCTTCAAAAAATTATTTATGGCCAGACTCGGTGGCTCAGCCTGTAATCCCAGCACTTTGGGAGGCCAAGGCGAGTGGATTGCCTGAGCCGGCAGGTTTGAGATCAACCCAGGCAACTTGGCAAGACCTCGTCTCTACAATAAATCAAAAATTAGCCCGGCATGGTAGTGCGTGCCTGTAGTTCTAGCTACTTGGAAGGCCGAGGCAGAAGGATCGCTGGAGCCCAGCAGGTTGAGGCTGTGGTGGCCAGGAGTGTGCCACTGCACTACAGTCTGGGCGACAGAGTAAGACTCCAAGTCAAAAAAAAATTTATTTGGATTGGGATCTCACACTGTCATCAAGGCTGGAGTACAGTGACATGGTCATGGCTCACTGCAGCTTCCTGAGTAACTACCATGCCCTGCTAATTTTTTTTTTTTATTTTTTAGTTGGAGTCTCACTCTGTCGCCCAGACTGGAGTGCAGTGGCCGCTCCTGGCTACCGCAGCCTCTACCTGCTGGGCTCCGGCGATCCTTCCACCTCAACCTTCCAAGTAGCCGGAATTACAGGCATGCGCTACCACGCCCGGCTGATTTTTTGATTTATTGTAGAGATGAGGTCTCGCTGCCCAGGCGGGTCTTGAACCCGCAGACTCAGGCAATCCACCCACCTCAGCCTCCCAAAGGCATGGGATTGCAGGCTGAGCCACCGAGCCCGGTTCCTGCTAATTTTTAAAATTTTTGTAGAGATCTCACAAAACCAGGCTGGTCTTGACTCCAGGGTTCAAATGAACCTCCTTCCACCTCCCAAAGTGCTGGGATTACAGATGTGAACCACCATTGCTCAGCCTAAACAATTTTTAAAAATTTTAATTCTGCATTGTGCAGGAAGATGTTTGCTGACTTATGAAAATGCTTTTTGAGCCTTTCAGATTCTTAATATATTCCCCAAAGTTAAAAAATAATTCTAGTTAGATTAAAAAAAAGAGTTCTTTACCATTTAAAAAGCAGTTTTCTTGAAGTATGATACATGCACCATACAATTTAATCATTTTAAATGTATAATTTGATCAGTTTTAGAAAGTGTACATAGTTGCACAGCTGCCACCACAACCCACTGTTAGAGCATGTTTCTCGCTCCAAAAAGTTTCCTTGTGTCAGTGGAATTTCTGGGTTGTATGGTGTGTGTTTAGAAACAAAACCAAAAACCTTGCAGACTGTTTTCTAAAGTGACTGTATAACAATTTTATTTTTCCACAGGCAGTATATGAGGGTTTCAGTTTTTCCACATCATTGTCAACATTTGATATGTCAGTCTTTTTTGTTTTAGTCATTGTAGTGGATGTGTGGTGGTGGTATATTGTAGTTTTAATTTGTATTTTTCTAATGAATAATGATATTGAGGATCCTTTTATGTGCTTGTTTTTCATCTGTATCTCTTTGGTGAAATGTCTCTGTAAATTTTTTGTGCATTTTAAAATCAAGATTCCAGCCTGGGCCACATGGCAAGACCATGGGTAACACAGCAAGAGACTTAAAAAAAAAATTGAAAGAAAATCAAGTTCATAACATAGCCAAATTAGCAAATTATATATTCTCTTTTTATTTTGAGGGTAAAATTTTGATATTATGATATATATCATATCTCTATAAAAGTGGTTATTTATTTATTTATTTTTGAGTCTCACTGTTGCCCAGGCTGGAGTGCAGTGTGGCACGCTCACAGCCACAGCAACCTTGACCTGTTGGGCTCAGTTGGAACCACAGGTATGCACTACCATGCCCAGCTAATTTTTTGATTTATTGTAGATATGAGGGCTCACCAAGTTGCCCAGGCTGGTCTCGAACCCATGGGCTCAGGCAATCATCTCGCCTTGGCCTCCTAAAGTGCTGGGATTACAGGTGTGAAAAAGTAGAAAAATATTATAGGTATACTTTAGAGAATAATATAATAGAAACTTGTGTTCCTACCACAACAGTTTGAGAAATGGGTCATTAATAATCACATTGAAACTTCTTAAATGCCTTTCCCCTACTGCATCTTCCTTCTTTCACATCTGAAATAATTTCTTTAATTCTGTTAATTATATTTTTGCTTTTCATTATAATTTTGCCATTTAAATGTATATGTAGCTGGACTCAGTGGCTCAGCCTGTAATCCTGTGCCTTTGGGAGACTGAGGTGAGTGGATTGCCTGAGCCCGTGGGTTCAAGACCCGCCTGCGCAATTTGGCGAGACCTCATCTCTGCAATAAATAAAAAATTAGCCCGGCGTGGTAGCACACGCCTGTAGTTCCAGCTACTTGGAAGGTTGAGGCGGAAGGATTGCCGGAGCCCAGCAG